GCAGCCAGGAGCCACGCGCGCGGACGTGGCTGCATAGACGCGACGGTGGCGACAACGGTCGGCAGACGGCAGCTTCATTGGTGGTGGCAGCAGCGAGCCAGCCGAAAGCAGGCGGTGATGACCGCGGCTAGCGCTGGCTTGTTCGAAATTATGTGAGTTGCACGCTTTTTAAAGCTGTTGAAAAATCCTACCCGATGGTCCAAACTCCAAACCAATTCTTCTATACTCAAGAGGCTATGTAGGGCTATCGATCTAAGCCACGACATCTTGCCACTTCTTAAGCCGATTGCTCTACAAAAATTGCCGAACATAGCTTCGTCGACCCATTTACAGACTTACGCGGAATGGCTGAACTTCGAACGGTTTTCAAGTCGAATCCTCTTTCTAAGCTACTTGATACACTAGCTAGCGAACCTCGCCCCTCGACCGCACATATTTCATCGTCGCCACTGAGTTCGGGCTACCAACTTTACTATGTTCCGCCGATGCATTCCGTAGCATTTTCGTCCGATAAAAATTCATTTAGAATCCTAAGTGATAATACGCGACACGAAATATAACATTCGTTTCATGTTTCAACTGAACGTTTCAATTTCTGAATATTGAATTATACTTTATAACACACACATTTACTCTCAAGTATGATGCTCATGCAGTGTTTTAGCAACAACTGTACAATGTAACATCGATGGTGTTACATTAGGCCAACTGTGTGTATGTGCACCAAGCTGCTCCTAGGCCATGGCCAGTTGCACCTACGCCATGGCTGCCTGCCTTTCTAGTTTCCAATTCTGTAGAATCGACAGTGATGCAAATGCAAATCGGCCACAATTACTCTGAAACTACTGATTTACCACATCACATGTGTAATCGGCCATCAAATATATTGATATTGCTATTCTGAAATCTGAAACCAGTGACTCTGAAACTACTAATTTAAATCTAAAACCAGCTCTCCCTTCTGCATGGGCCGCTCTCGGCCAGGATGGTCCAGATGCTAGGCTGTAAATCCAGCTCAACAAAATCTAATATTACAGTGGCAGAGCCACAATGCAGAATGAGCATACAATCGTATCACCATCATTTTTTCTCAAAAAATTAAATATTACCGTGTGATGGCATAGTAAAACGATTCCCGTGCATGATGAATAAACGAGCTAACTCAAATAAGAAAACCACAGACAGTGCTAACTGCTAACATCAGTGAGAATCACCAATGACGACTGAATGCACTTTCCCTGCAATTATAATAAAAACTATGAATCTCATGCCATTAACAAAAGCAAACCCTGCCAAACTATTTGTCTAGCGGGATTTACAAATGTGCGGTATCTGTGCCAAAAAAGAAACATAACCGATGCCACAATCCAATTTTTTCGTTAATAAATATGCATGTTGTAATTACTCAAACAAAAAATTATCAAGCATTATCTGGGTGCCATCCGAGAATGGCTTGAGGTCAGCTCTAGAAGCGAGGTCATGAAAACATCCAGGGCCTGAGATATCTTGGTTAACTCCACATTGTTGCATGAGTCAAAAAAATGTGAGAAGTAGGCCACAAGGATAATTTGTGTACCTTTCATGACATGCACCAAAACATCCATTCAGAGTGCAAACAGCCAAGAACCCAACATTATAATCCATATGAGAAAAAATATATGAGAACGTGTGTGGAAGGCCAGAAGTGATCAAATTATGGAGCACTAATGTAGCTACAAGAAACATCTTTTTTTTTTGTTAGTGAGCTAAATAGAGCGTGTCAATAGGAATTTATACTATTGGTTATACTAAATGCCTTAATAGTTTGTAGTAGATCCATATTTCTAGTAACATGGCTCACATTTAGCGAACATTTAGAGAACCAATTACAGTTAGTGGGGAACACTTGTAACCAAAAAAATAATCAGAAAAGAAGTTTAACCAACCAACCCAAATTCATTCAGGAGCCACTGCCAACAGGAATACAAAAGGCTAAGTTGTAAGTTCAGAATTAATTTGTTGCATTAAAAAAAAGTTCAAAACTAATTTACTCACCTCCCATATTTACTGAATAGGTTCTCAATGTCAGTTTGCTAGGTATGATGGGCAATGTAGCAGATGAATAACTTGGTGTTACTAACTTGTTGACCAGATGAATCATATCGACATATTTTGTGCTACAAGACAAAGAAAAGGTCAAGATACCCGCACAGAGGATATTTGTGCAAGAGCTAACAAATATGCAAATAGACTTGATACATAATACGTCAATAAATTGGTCTACCTTTACCAAATCATGTTGCTCCTATTCAAGTTCCATACATAACACACATGAATAAATTACTTCTAATAAAATATTTCATAATAGTCAAGATTGATTTAGGATGATGTTCCATACCTAGTCAGACGTTATGCTCCATCGCTACATGAGCGTAAACTGTTAGCGCAAATAAAAAGATCATCATGCTCCATAGCTTCATGAGTCTAAAGTGAAGTTGAAGTTAAAAAAATCATTAGGCTCCATAGCTTCGTGAGCTTAAACTGAGGCTAAAGATACAGGAACATGTACACATTGAATCCATGTTGAGAAAAAAATGTATATGAGAATATCCATCTAAATTTCAACATCAGTAGTTGTACCCAAGCCAGAAAACCACATATCTTGATCCCATTTGCACTATCTATCCAAATGCCACCAAGATGGGGAGGATGAAGAGCATAAGGGCTAGGAACATTCAGTGCAAAGCACACAGATTTGCAGTCGCAGATCCAGTAAAGGACATGGGTGTGCACATGTACGCATGATAATCTTTGGAAGGATCGAAGTTAGCAGGCATAATACATGTAGACACATGCAATTAGATCAGTGCGCGGAATAAAAATAGCCAATTAGCTTAAGTTAGGGTTCGGTGCTCGGTTTCACACTTTCGCACAGCAGGAACACGCCAGCGGGCTATCCTGGAGGCGGCCTCGTCCGGCGGCGTCGAAGGATTAGGGTTCGGTGCTCGGTTTCACACTTTCGCACAGCAGGAAGGGATGAGAAGGGATTGGCACACCTGGCGATCCTGCTGCGTCGCGTCGGGGCAGCGACGGGCGATCGTGGAGGTGGCAGCGTCCAGTGGCGTCGGGTCGGCGGCGCAACTCCGGCATCCGGTGGCGTCAGGCCGATCGATGGATCGGGATTGAGGAGGACAGAGCCGAGGTCGCGAGGAGGAGGCCGCGGCGTCGCGAGGTCTGGCGAGGGCGTCGCCGAGGCGGCGGCGTCATGGCGAGGAGGAGGGCGTGGTCTCGCCAAGGGCGTCGCACGAGGAGGAGGAGGAGGCGTCGCCACGAGGAGGAGGAGGGGCGCGACGAGACGGACGATTCGGTCCAACCTGCCGGCTTCGAAGAAGAAGAGTCGCGGTCGCACGTCGTTGGCGAGAGAGGCAGACCTAAAACAAATGTCACACCAAAAAGTATCCACATTTTGTTATTTTTAATTGTAGGAGATACTATTATGTTGGAGCATATTCGTTTACACTATTTTTTATGAAGATGTGTGCATATTTTGGATATTTAATTTGATAGGAAGATGATATAATCAGCACTGCTAACGAGCCTAGTCCGGTCACAGCTTGTGGTTGAGAGAGATGGAGGGTTGGGGGGAGAGATGCACGGTCCGCCGTTCATGGTCACGGCCGGCAGCCGCAACTTGCGACTAACAGGTAATTTACGTGCACGGCGCCGGCAGGAACCGATAGTTATATTGACTGATTGGTACAGATACACTCTATGCATGTCGCCTTCATCGTCAGTAATATTGTGAGAAGTGGAGACATGGATCCGCCGACAGAACCCACACAGTACATGATCATGAGCCGAGCCGCTACATGCGACATGCCCCCGGTCTTGTAGACACGGTGCATGCGCACGGTCTGACGTACGGTCGTTACGTGCCCGCGGTGACGCGTCATTGACAACGCCAGCTGCCTTACGCCATAATCACGAAATTGAATTGAAGGAAGGAATTTGCAGGGCGAAAACACCTGACGGTAGATTCAGTAAAATACATACCGCGAGTTCCCAACGGACAGCGTAATTTGGAGTGAAATCATGTTGCTTGAGCAAAATTCTGGATAGTACTAACGTTTTGACCTAAATTCTGCTGGTTGATTAATTAATCAATTAATATCTTCATGGTTAAACGGGATTGTGCAGTTGCTATGCTCTTTCCCTGGTTTGATACAAGCAAGGCTAGCCAATATAGGCCATATATTGATGTGAAAAGGGTCCTGCCCTGCAAAACCACACTGAAAGTGACTTTTCGCATTTGCCCATATTGACCATGCATGTCATGCAACATGCATGCATGAGGATCTACCTGCATGTTCTAAAGCTGATACGATATTTTTTAGTTTTGAAGTAAAATGTTTTGAATTCCGACTCAAATCGAGTTCTCCCAGTTGCATTGGTGGTCTTCAATCAAAACTGAATAATGTCATGTCCACACTTAACAGTTGAAAATCGTTGAAAGATAATATAAACGGTAGTATCCAACACGATGCTTTACAATAATACTACAATTAAACATGTTACTCCGTCTCCGAACGATCGAATGAATTTCAAATTATAATATTTTTTTATAAAACAGTATATATACGATTCTAAATTACAATTGGATAGATGACTAGTCCAGTTTCCTCAAAAAATAAAAAAAGATGACTAGTCCATCGTACCACGCAAGCCCCCCTGCTCGCCGACTACACTGTTGCTTCAATGTTCACTGAGGCCCCGTTTTATACGCAGAAATGTGGATCAAGTAAGCTTTATGAAGCTTCCAAGAAGTAGCTTACTGCTGCTTCCGTGTGGTTTCCAGGAACCTTCAATCCCGCAATCCTTGTCGTGATCTATGTTTTTTTTTTCTGGCATGATATATAACTGTATGTATATGTAGTATAGAAAAGAAAGAGTCTCGTCGCTGTGGTGAGTAAGACAAGGAGACAAAGAGGAGAAGAAGAAGGGAGAGGAAGATATCGGCGGAGATGGAAGGCGAGAACGGTGCCAGACCGCGTCCGGGGCGTGGTCCTCCAGCCCCGCCGCCGCCACCAGGTCACGAGGAGACTAACGGCGGCGGTGGGCACCGGCGTGGTGGGCAGACGAAGCAGATCATCTGGCCGCGGCGCCTCCGCCGCGTGGCCGTAGCTCTCGCGGTAATGATCGCGGCCGCCGTCTACCTTCTCTTCGCCGAGGCTCTCGCTGCACCGCCCGATTCGGCCGCGTGGTTCTTCGTGGCCTTTGCGCTGTGGATCATCGGGCTGGTCATGTTGTACTCCTGGATGATGGACTGACGCGCGCGCAGGCGCAGATCAGCTGATTTCAGGTTGAGCTATCAGCTAAGTACAGAAGTTCTCCACGCGGCCGGAACCCGGCGGCTGCGCCGGGTCGCGCTAGCGTGTCTACTCTCGCCTCTCTCTCTTCTTCTTTCGGTTCACCGCGCCTATACGCGCCATGGATGTAAAATGTAATATAGCTGAGCTCAATCCTTTTCTTGAACTGATGGTCATACAAAACTTTCCGTCCTTTTTAGTGGTTTTTGGTTTTTATTACTGCCAACTTGTTTATCTTCAAGTTTATTCTTCTTTCTCTGAAGATTATACTGGCAGTTTGGCACGCAACCAAAGCATCTTCGCTCTTGCAAAGAGCTTGCGGACTGCGCGTTAAGTGAGATTCAACCAGTTTCCTCGCGGAAAGACGGAAATTTCCGTAGAATAACCCTAGCTGCTTGTCTACCTCCTCTCCCCTTCCACAGTTTCCACTCTAATACTTCGAGACGAAGCCATAAGGCCGGCCAGCGACCGCTTGTTAGTTTCTGCCTCACCTATGACGCCTCTTTCTTCTCTGCGTGGATCACCATTCATCAGAGAGCGAGCTAGCTAAGCACTGCCCGCTCGGTCATGATCGACATCGACCGCGAGGTTATGCTTTCTTCAGTTGGTCAGTTTGAGCGCAGTGATACATATAGTAAGCAAGTCACAACGCATAGCACAATCCAAAGTAAGCAAAGTCGTTAGCCACGCATTCCATACCTCTGGGCTTTGATCGCTACGGTGATTGGCTGATTGCACTGCGTGGCCAAAGATCTCGATAGGCGTCTGCGGGGCAGATGCTCCGGCCTGCAGCAGAGCTGCTGCCTGGCAAGGAGTAGGGAGGTACTGACGCAGACTGTATAGATGAACTGCGACTGCACCAGACGTCAGACGACCTAGCTAGCTCGAGAGCTGCTAGCTTTGATGCCGCCATCTTCGGCAGCAGCGTGCTTCGAGCATGGCCGGCTGGTTTTAGGGCTTGTTTGCTTTGCTAACCTCCTAGGCAATCTGCTGCCCACCGAAATCGAGCGTCTAGAGTTGCAGCTCATGCAGACAAGATTGCCTAGAGGCCAATCAAACAGTCCCTTAGATCCGTCAGCAAACTTCGAGTTTGCCCCCCTTCTGTGACCAAGTCAACTTTTTCACAAACGAAGCTGAAAAATAAAGAGATGTATACGGGCCCAATTATTCACAGGGCCAAATCTGGCTCTCCCAGCCTAGCGTGAGTATTCGATAAAAGAGCCCGGCCTGCGTCTTGGACTGGCCCAACTAAGCCTGAGGGCTGATGCTGAGTCTGGAAAGGCCTTATATTTTTTTTTGAAACAAAGACAGGAGCTCTGCCGCTCAATTAAGACAGAAAGAATTTATGTACAAGAGGGCTAGCCAATGGGATGCCAAAAAACGCATCCGATAGGCTAACCAACCCACACGACGCAGCTGAGCACTAACACGACACACTACCATGGGTCATCGTTGCCGAGCATGGCCGAAGATGCCCGCAGCTCCGACTTCTCATGGCAGCCCACACAAGCCACCCACCAACGAGCCCGAAGCAAGTGGCCGCCACCGGTCATCGTTGCCAAGCTCAAGCACCCCTCAAAGAGCAGCTCCGACTTCCAATCACGGCCACACGCCTCGCCTCCAGCGCTTGCCGACCCCTAGCAGACCCCAGCCAACGATGAAGGTGGGGGCTCGCAGCGTGTCATCGTTGCCGAGCCACGTCCTTGACGCAGCAGCTTCGACTTCTCGCAGCAAGACCCGCCTCCACGCGTCATCGAGGCGCCAAGAAGCGAAGAACAATCACCGAGGAGACATCGAGGCCACGACGAAATCCAAACGCGACGCCTTCAGGAAGGTAGCAACGCCGATGGCGCCACCGTCACACGTCCAAAGTGGATCGGGCTTTCACCCTTGGATGATAGTGCTAGAGGGGATACACGACGCCCCCAACAGGGAAAGCGGCACCCACAGGTGTCGCCATCGCTAGGCTTTCGCCTAAGGAGTCCTCAAGCACGAACGTCGGGCCAAGAAGCAAGGCCCCTTGCCATCCATCACTGCTATCACCGTTGTCCTGCCGCTCCACAGTAACCCCTTCAGAGGGGCCTCGACGCGCCCGGTACGCGCGCAGCGCCACACAACAGCCGTGCCGGTCCGTCACTCTCCGCCGGGCAACGCGGGCGGACTGACTTCAACAGACGCGAAACACCGCCGCACGACCAACGGCCCGGTCTTTCTGACGGCAGCCACATCGCGCCGCAGCCGTTGAGCTCTGCCCCCACCTCCCCTCGCCGCCAAGGGTCGTCGATGGACCAGATCTGGCCGTCTCCGGCCAGTTCTGCAGCAGAATCCACGCGCTTCGCCGAGCATCGCGGTGACGAAACCAGACCAACCAGCGAAGCGGAGACGGTAGTAACGGTTGGCTTGAGGCACGCCACCGTGCCCACATCCAAAAGAGCGCGATAGTTCCACGGCCGCGGACGCCCCGCCTCTGCAAGGGCCGCACTTCGCGAACACCACCAAAGCAAGTGCAACCACCGCCGATGTGGCGAGATGGGTGGATCCGCCGTCGGATCACTGGATCTGTCCACCTCGGCGAGGATGTGGCCCGCCGTGCCATTGCCGCCTTCCCCTGCACGCCGGAGACCGCAGTATGAGAAGACGACACGGCGCTTCCCAACCAAGTCCAGCTCTCGAAGGCCCGCCGTCCGCCGTCCTCATGCCACCGGGCGGCTCACTCAGGCGACGGCGAGACGGGAGATGTGGAGGGTGGCGGGAGTTAGTGGCGGCGCTCGGTCGCCGCCCGAGTTGCCCCGGCCTGGAGCGACGCGGGGGCCGGTTAGGATGGGCTTTCGCACGAATTCCTGGTCCGACGATAATTGGGCCCCCTTTTTTTTTGTCTTCTATACTAAACGTCTAAACCCATTGAAATGCTAAGAAATTTAGGAATTTTGGGTGATTTGTGAAATCAAAATTTTTGAGTGCTTAATAGTCTTGTAACCTCGGTCTTGAAAACTCGATTTTTCACCATTAGATTCCACAATGAAACGTTTACTTAAATTATGGGAGAAGACAAAATTTTGAATTCTAATCGCTTTGGACAGCTCACCTTCAGAACACAACTTCTCACACCATTAGATTCGTTGTTCTGCGACGAAGAATATTATATAGTAAGCCTAGCACGATTGTAGTATTATGAATGCATAATTCTTGAGAAAAATACAGAAGCTGATTATCATGGTATCAGGCTTTCAGCATGTATCCATATATCTGAATTATTCATGGTCGGAGTTTCACAAGTTTCCAAAAGTGGAGGGAGAACTCACCTTTATCAAGTGCTTGTCGTTTTCAACAGCTTAGTGCTCAAAGCACAACTTTTGGCATTAAATATTTTTTTTTTAAAACAAGTGACATGAATAATTATGATGTTTTCAGCCTAAATAGCTAAATAACATCCATGGTCAGAGTTTGAAGAGTTTTCAGAACCTTCGGGCTGGGCATCTCAGTTGATCCAGGAAGCTGAATTCATGTCTTTTACTAAGATGGTATACGCCTCTATGGTAATCCCGGATAAATCAACATACTATAGAAGCTACAAAGCCATGAAAAAGACCAACACATACCTTATTTGGAACAGCTCCAAATCTTCCAGTGCTTGGTGCGATGTCTATGCAGGGCGGACAGTAGTGATAAGTGATGACACAATTAACATACAGCTGCTTATCTAGGCTACAGAGGGGGTAAGAATATAAAAGAACAGTAAGTAACAATATGCATTTCTTTCTAGAAAAGTTCTTGCAGTGGAGGGCAGATATGTAGGTATGACGATGACTGACCTGCAAACTGAAGCAGAAGGGCTCCATGGAGCGAGCTGAGCTATCTGAGCTCGCACAAGGCACAACACGCGCAGCAAACTGTGGTTGCTGCTGAAGTGCAGAAGGAAAGGTAACAAAGGATACATGGATTCAGAGGCTTGCCAGTTTGCTCTGGTTGTTTGGGTGGAGAGCCTCAAGGAGTTATAGATCTGGACTTCTATATACCAAGTCGTCGCCAAGTCAAGTCAACTAATGGAACAAAGTCATCTAAAAAGATTAATGACCGACTCAGACTCAGACTCAGACTCGGTCTTTGAGTTTTAATTTTTCTTCTTCACCGAATAACGCACCCACTCATCTCCCTTTGCTAGCCTGAGTGACTGAGAGTTGGGTCAAGCAACTCGAGAGAATATGTCCCCTAATGTCAGTCTCTTAGGTTGGGTAGGAATAGGACATGTCTATTTTAGTTTTATCGAATAGGATCCAATGTCGAATTGGAAGACGACCGGATAATTAGATCGATCTTTTTACAATGGTTAGGAAGCACCTCCAGATTTTTTTATCTTTTTCTATAATTAATTGAGAAATATATTATAGAGGGTATTTTAGTAATCGAGGAATCCTTCTGTAAAAAAATCCCCTTCTTCCCCTCCTGCACCCGCTCGGCCGCTCCAGCCTCTTGCTCTCGGTCACGATGGATCGGCGACTCGCGGCACGACTGCTGCTCCCCTGCCCCTGTCACTGCCAGCGAGCGCCCGAGCGGCCCTGGTGGCGACGGGCGGCCGGCGCCCTGGCCTTGCCCCGGCGCCCCGTCCCCCGGCCGCAGCCGCAGCCGCAGCCGGCCCGCCCCGCTGGCTCCCCGTGCTCCCGCCTCCCGGCGTCCGGCCCCAGCCTGCCCCTTGCGGCCTCTCTATGTATTTTGTCCATCTCAACACGCTGCACATGTGGATCTCACGATCCATATCATGACGTTCCCGGTCTTCCTCCGCTCGCTCTTGAGGGATCTTTCCGTCCATGACCTTATGTGCTCTCATCAAATGCCTAAACAATGATGTTGATTGGTTTACAGTGAAGCTTGTAATATTCACTGGTTTACAGTAAATCCTAAAATACTGTATAGAAAGACAATGCAGACGTACGACCATTTTTTTCTCCTAAAAATCCTAAACAATGATGTAATGACAGTACTAAAATGACTAATTTACCTTTATTTGGGACAATCTACCATCTGTTCCAGGAGTGCTGCTTCTCCAGACTTATTTGGGATAAGGTGGGCTCATGGATCTCAGCAGCAGCTTTGAAGCCGGCAAACTAGGGCCAGACGGACGACTTCGGTCAGTGGTTCATTGACATGGGCAACAGTGGTCAGGGAACCAGGAGGGATGGTGTTCGATCAATGATCATGCTAACCGTCTGGGAAATCTAGAAAGAAAGGAACAATCGCGTTTTCAACAGAACCTGCAGGTCACCTGAACAACTCTATAGCGCAATTCAAGATGAGGCAAAGATGTGGGTACGTGCAGGGAACAGAGGCCTGGAGATGGTACTTCCATCGACGGCGCAGCTATAGGACGATGTGCCAGTTGAGAACATAGTTTAGAAGATTGCTTTCTTAGGGAATGTCTGTTACAATCTCTGTGTAAACTGACCATAGGGACTGTAGGGGTGGTGTGGCATCACTGATTGGTGAAGCCATGCAAAAAAAGGGGTGTCTCTTGCCCATTAGTTTGCTCTCCTCTTATCAATGAAAGCCGGTAATATACTAATTTATCTTTATTCAAAAATAAAATAAAAATAAAAAATAGATTTGCCCCACATATTTTGGTACTGCCCCCACCTAATTTGGTACTGTTCCCACTTATTTGGTACCTCTAGGTACTTTTAATTGGGAACCTTCTATTTTTCTGCCATCCGATCTCGCCGAATGGATGACCCATGTTTTTTTCAACCATCATAAAATTTCTCATAACGAGTAATTGTTGGTAGCTGCTTGAGAGAGTAGTGGTGTAGTGTGTAGAGCGTGGTTTCAGCTTTGAACTTGCTGTGTTTTGGTGGTTGCTTCTTTGGTGCTCGGTTTGGTGCTAGTTTGAGGGGTTTGAATCCAGACGCTGTAGCCTGCTGTTGGTTTTATGCCTCTGTAAACTAGTAACCCCAATGTGTGATTGGGGGTTCAAACTTAAACATTCTAACAAAGTTGGACTTAGCCTTTGATTTAAAAAAAAATATAGGGCATGTTTGGTTTGGATCTGGCAAAAACTGTTTGGACCAGGCAACAATACCAAGCGTTGAATTTTGGAGATCTAGGGTGGAGATGGACATCTAGTAAACCAAAGTGTGATGCCTCTACACGAATCATTATGGAAACTAAAATTATCTCTAAAAATTAAGAATTTGTTGGGTTCTTAATAAGAGGTGTTATTTTAACCAAAATACATATCTTAAAACGAATAAATTGGAGAGGTAATGAAAATTGTTGTTTTTGCAACCGCAGGGAAACCATACAACAATTATTTTTCGATTATCATCACAATGCAGAATATGTTTGTAGAATTATTTAAGCAAGAAAACCATCAAGGTATATGAGTCATTTTTTTATTTTGGTTACAACAAGTAGATCCAAAATTGCAATTTGAAGTTCGCACAACTTCTCCTAGTGATGCGAGGTTCTCCTAACATTTAGCATTCAACATTTAGTACGAGCTTTTCCTTACCAAAAGCTTTATAGTGAGGATTTTCATGTGCCAGGACTGGTGGTAGAGTTCTTATTACTATTTAGTGCACTAGGAGAACTCCACTATTTTGGTAGTGTCGTGTTGGAATAGATCAACGTTTTAGGTCTATATGGCTAACTAGAAATGACGTATCTTTGAAAAAAGATTGTATATTGTTATTTACAAGTTATTTTCAGGACTACTTACAAGTTACTAGATACATTTTTGGTCTGCACTTTAAATGTTGGAGACCGAGGCAATGGAAATCTTCGCCAAGCATATGGATGGTCGTTGTCTTCTACCTCCTGTTCGCTTATCTTATAATCCGTCTTTTTCAGCCAGAACAGTGTTTTTCTCTCACAACAAATCATTCGGAACAGTGTTTCGACTTGTTTTTTCAGCGAAGCGAACGGGGCTTAATGTTTAGTTTGCCATTTTTTGCTAGATGAGTTTATGCCCATCGCCTTTTCGTTGATGATTCTTGTGAGCTTGTTTGAACAGTTGAAGGGTGAAACTGCAATAAGCCTTGAAAATTTTCTAAAAAAACGAACTTCAAATATAATACTTATGTTTTGTCGCTACTACGAAAGCAACATGTCGTACTCCACTTTGCAGTTCTTGTAACAACCACATGTCGTAGTCTGCCAACTTTTCCCACCCGTGCTCTTTGAAAAGATAAATTTAGAGGCAGGCTACTCATAAACACTAGCAACCTACGCACCCCTCTAGTTTCTTCCAAAAAAAAATGTTGTGAGGTTGTATTGGATTTGCTGCTCCATGAGTTGACGTATTGATAAATATTTTTATTAGATCATCAAAAGAGAAAAACCACAATTTAGCATCACAAAACGAACGATAAGAATTTACATAGCAAAGAAGCCTACCAACCAAATCCTAGAAATAGAAGCCTATCCAAATTACACAAAGATGTCTTTGTCGTCGTATTCTCCGTGTACGGCTTTCGTTATCACTCCACTAAAGTTTGTTTTCGCCGGCGATTCAACTGATGCGCTGCTGTATAGGTCATGTTCGCTTGTCTTATAATCCGTACTTTTTGACTTGTTTTTCCAGCTGGAACAAAGTTTTTCTCTCATAACAAATTATCCAAAACAGTATAGGCTGCTGCCCGCCCAACCAGCCAAGTACGGAACATGTAACTATGTATATCGTATATTCCTGTATATAATAACTTCTCCTTCGGTCGTACACTATCTAGTTCGTCCCTCGCAACGGACAGATTAGCACGCTCCCGCGCAAAGCTTCTCGCAACTAGCTCTCAGGGCCGGCGCGGCCGTGGCCAGCACTGTGCTCAAGTGTCCCTTCCTGTGAACTACTAGCGCGCCTACCAGGGGCACGGGCACGGGCACGGGCGCACGTCAACCGTTCGATACGTTCATGAATAAGACGTGCTTTGCCACTTATTACCAGTAACTGTGTGTGGAATGCATGTGTGATAGAGTGATATACTCGAGTGTTTCTGTGGGAGGTACGTGCCTTCAGAATCCAAAGGAAATTGGTGCTTGGATGATATACATATACGGATACGGTCAGTCGGTCATACGGAAGACCAATACTTGAATAGTGATATTTCGTGTTTCGATAACAAGTGATACTGTCAGTTGCGTTTTGCAAAGATAACTGTAATAGTAATGAGTGTTTCAGATGCTGCACTAATATGGGCCGTCGTAGCCCAAGCGGGGGCCCAGGAAAGCCCATGACGCAACTGGTTCCAGTCGATAGGCTGCGGCCTACGCGGCAGGGCAGGCGGACCGCGGACTCCGCGACGGGCCGACGACGGCCTCTCGCTCACGTGATTCCATTGCCGTGAGCCGTGACGTCACCGAGACCCCACCAGGTCCAGGTGGGCGGGCACGGCAACCCTCCGTTCCCTCACTTTAAAGTCCACCTCCGGCCTCAGATTTCTCCAACCGGGTCTCCGTCAATCCCAAATTCCCAATCACGAAGTAACCGCACCGCCGCTGCGAAGGCAAACCAAGCAAGGCTCCCAATCGTCTCGTCAAGGTATCCCCCCTCGATTCGTCCCCCTAATCTCTCGATCAATGGGGTCGTGTATGGCCGAATCTCTGTTGCACCTTCCGTACGAAGATGCTTATAAATTGCCCGCAAGGTCTTGTGATGTTCGATCGTTACTTTTAGTTAATTCGTTCATGCCGAGTTCGTTTTTTGGCTTGTAGCCCTGCTTATAGGCCGTGGTGTTTCTGTTCTGGAACGGAATTTTGTAGATATCATAGAGTTAGGGTTCAATTCAAAAGATCGATTAATGTATTATATCAAAACTAAGAGGATTAAATCATTCCTATCATGTTGCCTCGAACGTAATCTTGCAGATATCATATAATTATGTTTCAATTCAATAGATTAATTGGTGTATCATTTAAATTATGGCTAAGTCATTACTATATAGTTTTACCTCAAAACACAGTCCTGTGTATGTCAATCGGGTTTCAGTTTCAGTTCGATAGATTAATTAGTGTATTATCAAAGTTTAAACCATGCCTGTCATATAGATTAATTGGTGTATCATCTAAATTATTGCTAAGTCATTACTATATAGTTTTACCTCAAAACACAGTCCTGTGTATGTCAATCGGGTTTCAGTTTCAGTTCGATAGATTAATTAGTGTATTATCAAAGTTTAAACCATGCCTGTCATATAGATTAATTGGTGTATCATCTAAATTATTGCTAAGTCATTACTATATAGTTTTACCTCAAAACACAGTCCTGTGTATGTCAATCGGGTTTCACCGTTTCAGTTTCAGTTCGATAGATTAATTAGTGTATTATCAATATCAATATCAAAGTTAAGAAGTTTAAACCATGCCTGTCATAGTGTCATGTTGCCTCTGACACAAATCCTGTAGGTATGATTTGGTTTAAATTCAATTCGTTGATTAGCATACGCTCAAAATTAAAATGGTTACAAAAAAAAAAAAAGATGGTTAAATAAAATTAAGATGGTTAAATCTTGCCTTCCATCTTCCCTGCCTATTTTACCTTAGATTGGTCTGTTTCTGATCACCTTGAGTCAGAAGGATATGTATAAATTTTGGGAAGTGCTGCTAAACTTATTTCTTGTCGATACACTGACCCCTTTCATATTATAAATGTTGAATCCTGTCTCTATATTCTCTGCTTGTGTATGTTGAGTTGTCATGCTAAATTAGCAATGTAACTAGCACATTGGCAGTTGGTATGCATGAGGCGTTGTTTTCATCTAATTCGTGGTTCAGATGTTTGTGTTCTTTCTTTGTTGTTACCTCTGTTTCATAGTAGAGATTTGAATCACTCTCATCGAAGCACTAGGTTTTTCTGTGCCTATCTCTTTAAGGTAGCTTACATGTGATTTTTGACTCTACAGATGCAGATCTTTGTGAAGACCCTCACTGGCAAGACCATCACCCTCGAGGTTGAGTCCTCGGACACAATTGACAATGTCAAGGCAAAGATCCAGGACAAGGAGGGAATGCCACCGGATCAGCAGCGTCTGATCTTTGCTGGCAAGCAGCTCGAGGATGGGCGGATGCTCGCCGGCTATAACATCCAGAAGGAGTCTACCCTCCACCTTGTCCTCAGGCTCAGCGGTGGCATGCAGATCTTTGTGAAGACCCTGACTGGAAAGACCATCACACTGGAGGTCGAGTCCTCAGACACGATAGACAATGTGAAGGCCAAGATTCAAGACAAGGAGGGCACTCCACCAGACCAGCAGCGCCTCATCTTTGCCGGGAAGCAGCTCGAGGATGGCCGCACCTTGGCTGACTACAACATTCAGAAAGAGTCCACCCTTCACCTTGTGCTCAGGCTAAGGGGAGGCATGCAAATCTTTGTCAAGACTCTGACTGGGAAGACCATCACACTTGAAGTTGAGTCTTCTGATACGATCGATAACGTAAAGGCAAAGATTCAAGACAAGGAGGGCATCCCACCGGACCAGCAGCGCCTCATCTTTGCTGGAAAGCAACTCGAGGATGGCCGCACTCTTGCTGACTACAACATTCAGAAGGAGTCCACCCTCCACTTGGTGCTCCGCCTCCGTGGTGGTATGCAGATCTTTGTGAAGACGCTGACTGGCAAGACCATCACCCTGGAGGTCGAGTCGTCTGACATGATAGACAACGTGAAGGCAAAGATCCAGGATAAGGAGGGCATCCCGCCGGACCAGCAGCGCCTGATCTTTGCTGGTAAGCAGCTTGAGGACGGCCGCACCCTGGCGGATTACAACTTCCAGAAGGAGTCTACACTTCACCTGGTTCTGCGCCTCCGTGGTGGCTGGTAAAGGTCTTGGCGGGTTGGGGTACTGAGTTCAGTTTGTCGCGTCTGTTGTGAGGTCGAGTCTCTTGTGTCCAAGTTAGTGAGTTCAGTTTGTCGCGTCCGATGTGAGGTCGAGTCTCTTGTGTCCAAGTTTCTGCTATGATCGAGTCCCATAGCGTTCCGCAAAACATATGCTGCCTTGCTGTGTAGCAGCTTGATTGCTGTAATGGATAAGTGAACATGGTTTTTGTCTTGGCATACAGAATTTGTTTCTGTCATTTTACATTTTAGCTGGTCAGCTAATCTCGCTGTGATTGCCTTGTAAACTTTATATTCATGGATTGTGTGTGTTTTTATGCCGAGTGACATTGGTTATCTGTCATATGACAGGTATCACCAGAAATTTGACCAAAGATAGTCTGAAATGAACACAAGATTTCTATTTCAATGAATACTTTGTTTGTTTGAAATTAATTCACAGCCATTTTACTAGGTTGACGTGTAAGCACAGGTTGTTTGAGAACCTATGGACGCACATCTGCATCTGAATCTCAGTGGAACTATTTGTGTGTGAAGGAAATACATGCACTCCTTCAGTGAGTTGTATCAGTCTGATTGCCGTCTCCACTCTGTTTCTGAACTTCAGAATCTCAGTGGACACTCCTTTAATGAGTAGTATACTTATCAGGTTGATTTCCCATCTTCGCTGTATGTTTCTGAACTTCATGTGTTATGTTTGACTAAAACCTATAGTCCTCACGTCCTGGCCATAATGTAATGCTGTAGTTATTGGAAGCCTCTTATGGTTGTTTCCTTTTTGTTTCAGATGTGTAACTTTCTCGACTTCATGTGTTCTGTTTGTCTAGAACCTATAGTCGTCAAATTCTGCCCACAATGTAACGCTATAGTCAGTTACTATAAGCCCCTTATTGTTGATTCCTTTTTGTTTCAGATTTCACCGTTGCAAATTTATGTAGTGTTTGCTTGTGCCCACACATCTGCTATTCGCCAGTTCTTGGAAGCTTATTATTATCTTATTTCTGATATTAAGATGGGCGATTTAGAAATGGCTTGGAGGGAAGAGCTTCTCAGATACCTGCAGCCCAAGTATTACTGAACCCTAAACCTGAAGGTATGAAGTTGCAGTTTTGCAGTTGTTTTTTAGCTCTTCACTGAGTTTTTTTTATGCACTCCGGCACACAATGTTCTATTTTCAAATTAAATTATATCTTTGTGACGTGCTTATATTGGCTACCAAAGGGGTCCCACCATCAATATTTGCAATATACATAATAACATGATGATTACTCAAATAATAATTTGTCAAGTCTTATTATAGATGACTAAATGAGGAATAACTGAACGTAACATTAGAAAATAAACATTATTTTCTTGCACCCGTCGTCTGAAGAATTCCGCCACCGAAGGGATACGAGTGAAAGAAAAAATAGAGAGGGCACCGCAGATGCTATTTCGTATTGGAGATACAGAACTACACGTACATATAACAACAAGAACTGTAATACTAGCTTAGAGTGAGGTCTCAGTCTCCAACTTAATACATTCCTCAGAAGCTCACTTCTCTGTAAGCAAACGTAACTGAATTGGTTGATCAGTACTCACCCTGCAGCAGCCCACTTCTTAAATTTGTAAGCAAACGTACATAGTACTTTACGAGAGATTTCTGCCAGCAATTTCCTCAGAAGCACATGACCAGCTCGTCTTGCATTGGGTCATCCTCATAAGCCCACATCTCCGATCCATCAAAAGCATAGGGCAATTTTTAGCCACAAGCTCAAGTATGTCATCATCGGTTGCCATGACCGCTTCGAGTACAGTAGGGTCTTCAAGGAACTCAATGCAGGCGTCCCTAATAAGCTTATGGCAGTTGTGTTGTACAGCCAGTCTCAATTTCTTCGTGACAGTATTCACATTGATGTCACTGCACAGTATCTCCTCCCAAATCAGCTTGAGCTAGCTCCTGCATGTCGAACCTATCCGCAGCTACCAGCAAACGCTCAGCCATGATAGACGACTCTTCTGGCCCCGTCATCTCCGGCAAGGAATCTGTGTACACAAAATGTAGCATGCTCTTGAACACCTGAGGTAGCATACCGTCGACGTGTATGCAGCTGATGCCGAGGTGCCCTCTCCAGCGAGCTGTGCTTCCAACGACCGGCGACTTGGCTGCAAGAACACATCTGTGGACGCTGAACGCCTCGCCGCCGACTTGGAACGTGACGTCGGGATCCAACGAGAGACGCTGCTGCAAGTCGTACGCCCTTTCGACGGGAGACGACGCACTCGATAGTGAAGCGGTCGTCGCCGAGGTACTCCGACGCCTCCAGAAACTCCTTGTGGATGAAACGACTGCAGCCGTGCTCGTGGCCGACTTTGGGGTACTCCCATACGTCTGAGCATACGGAGTGATCAGGTACAGGTTTCCCAGCACGATCAAGCAAAGTGAACCTAACTCGTGCCTTGACAGGCTCGTCGGTGGCTGATCCGTCGCCGGCGCCGGCGCCGGCAATGAAGATTGAGATGTAGTCTGCGCTGGACGTGGAGCTGCCGTTCAGGTAGTAGTAGATGCACCAGGAGCAATGCCCAACCTTGAAGGGGGTAGATTTGATCCACTGCCCATTGCGGTACTGCTCCTTCTTGAACCCGTCACTAGTGTAGGACTGGGCATCAGCCCCGGTCAGGAAACCCCCTTTAATTCCGGTTTTTCAACCGGGATTATGAATTCGGAACTAAAGGCCCCCCTTTAGTTCTGGTTTTGGCAATCGGGACTGAAAGTGAACCTTTAGTTCCGGTTGCTATTACCAACCGTGACTAAATAGGCCCCCATACATTACACCGGAGCTGACACGTTTAGTCCCGGTTGGTGTTTCTAACCGGTAATAAATGTTTCTTTTTTTTCTCCATTTCATTCCTTTTTATTTTATGGTTTCTTTTCAATTCAATTCTTTTTTTGTTTCGATTAGGTCTTCGTATACGAATTCTACGTTGCTAATATACGTACGTATAAGGTTCCGTTTGAGCATTATACATAAATAACACACTAAAATATATGAAACAACTACATATATTCAAATATTTCAAGAGGTTGTACATGCATGGAATATGCACATAATAAAGTCAAAAACTTTAAACTCATGTCCTTGGGATTTCATTCAACCCTAATCTTTAGTCGTATGACTACTAGGTAATAATTCTTTAGGGTCATAGTAGTACGCGCCTTTGGGATCTATAACCTCGTCTATAAGAAATCCTGGCAATGCCTTTTGAATTGCTTTGATCTGGTCACATCGTAGGACCCTTTGCTTCCTCGACTGAACCTTCAATTCGAATGAAAAGAAAAGTATGAATATATATATATATATAATATAAACACAATGGTAATAAATAAATTATGTATATTTTTTACATACTTCGAGGATCTCTTCACTTATTCTCTTTGAGTACTCCATGAGGAACTCGCAGACGTAGTATCCACATAAGTTGTTCTCTGATCCCTGCTATAGACACCACTTTACGAGAAAAAGATTCATCATCAATCAATGAAGCATGGTAATAACGAATTGAACTAAATAAAGATGCAGTCCCCTAGCTAGTACTTACTGGGTATTGGGTTACATCCAGAGGCACTTTTCAATTACCATAATGATTTTTCTCGGCAAACGTTTTTCAAACACTGCCTAACAAAATAAATAAATGAAGTTATATCAATAAAATAGCATAATAGAGTATACAATGTACGAGACCGAAATTACCACTGGAGAATATCTATCATTTCTTGGTAATCTTGTCGGGGTTTTGTCGCTGAGTCAAAGATTTTTACAAGACTGCTGGGCATATCGATGACCAGCAGTATCCAGTGAAAGCTACGTGTTTATACGAAGGCATAACTCATTAACTAAAGTCAACATGGAGTAAGCAAAATAAAATGGGCACAAGACATTAACACTCATTTGAAGTTGTAATGGAAGAGTATCAGTGTCTTGTTACGTTGGTTATCTAAGAACCTAAACATATGCTTCTCCACTTGAGGTCGCCATCTATCATATGGAGTAACAATGTCCTTGAATGTGCGATTCAGATCCATGAAACCAACATCAGTCAACCCTTTTCTCTTTAGTTTCAGCATCTCATATCTACATATATATAGTACAAAAGATTATATATAGTGTGAGGATAAGTATATATATAGATGGACAATGAACTAACATATATGCAAGTTCAATTGTAGAAAGAATCACTTATATACACCAGCAGTTGAGGAGAGATTTGTCGAGAGCGTTCTGGTTTAATAGTTGGTGTAATTCATTGAACTCAATATGTACAATGTCATAGTCATTGAAGTAATGCTCTGGTCTAACTCTGGCAAAAGCCTCCTTCTTGTCACACGCTTTTAAGTACCACTTGTTTAACAAGAACATTTGCGTACCCAGTGATGAATAGGAGTTAGGGTTGACAAGACTCCTGCCATAGTCGGCTGTTCGTATCGATCCCCCAATGAGTTATTGAGGTGTGAGACCTGTTGCGGCCATGAAGTCTTGGAGCGCCTCCCTATCGATTGGACCACCTTATGCGCTTGTACAATCATCCTCAACAACTAGTGGGTCAATAGATTGCTTAGATTGCTGCCCGAGCTGTGCAACATCTTTCCCTGCTCTCTTCGCTTTTAGCGACTCCTTATATGATTTGTTGAGAGAGGGGTCATAGTACGATAATGCCGAGGGCTTACGTGCATCACGCTTCTGCTTCTCGAATTGATTGATTTTTCTCCTTAGTTCTTGTCGAGCTATGTACCGTGGCTTTGGCGGTTTTTTCATAAGTTCCTTCTTATTTGCTATTGATTCTGCTACACCTCACTTCTAGTTATCCAAATCTCTTTGTGCCACCACTTTTGATTCCTCTTTAGACTTCTTGTAAGGCAGCTTCTTCGGAGGGGGCTTTGTTTTATGATGGCTGGCTTTCTTCTTCATCGGGGACTTCACCGGGGGCAGGGGCCTCTTCTGGCTCTTTGGAGCGGGAGGCGAAGGAGGGGGAGACCGCCTTGGTGGAGATGGAGATGCAGTCGTGCCATGGAACACATCATCATCATCTAGAGCACTCTGATGATCATCATGGGATAGAAGAACTGGACTCAGGTTGGGAGACCTGTGAGTACAAAATAATTGGGAGTAAATGGTTATTACGACGCGAGAAGCCAATAATTGAGAATGATTAATTATTGAAAAACTGTTTCGTTCACTTTCATCTGCACCTTTCATGAGGTAGTTGAGGAGGAGGTGACGGTACCCTAGCCACCGTACCGGGAATAATGATGTAGTGCTTGCACCATAAAATGAATCAATGCTCTGCTTGTCCTAGGGTCTTCTCCCCATCACCTCCAGGAAAGTCAAGAGCCACTTCCCTATAGCCTTTGATAACTCTATCCACCGAGACGCTACAATAGCCAGGTGGATTGGATTCCCATGGCTTCTTGGTGTCTTCTCAGGGACCATAAGAGAAACAATACCATGCGCCACCAAGACTGTGGCATTGGTATTCCCCATGGGAATGTGCAGCTCACATGGCATCAAAGGCACGGTGATGTCATCCACGGGGAAGTGCTACAATGCGTCATCTTGATTTGGGAGCTCAGTGGAAGCGCAACTGCTTCTTAGTTGAGAGGGGCTAACGTTGACTCCATGCTCTGATGTTGACTACCTCTGGCTCAACTGTGTAGTGCCACTTGCCATTTGATTTCCTCTTGCATTCTCGCGTCCATGTTTAATTCTCGCTCCCATGATTCAAGCACCACCTCCTCTAACCTATGGATCCACTCTGCCTCCTTAGCCTTCCATCGCTGGTGGCTTCTATAGGTAGCGGCGTCCTAAGGGAAGCCATGCCGCCACAAAATCAACCCTTTGCCTTGTATTCGCTCAGGGTTTTCAGGAGTCTAGAGGGCGTACATCAGCTCATCCTTCTCCCGCTTGGGCAGAAAGGCACCACTAGCAGAAGCATCTACAATATCGATAAGTCTTTGTGCTGCTATTCTGATTTCCCCACCAACAACCAGCTCCTTGGTCTCTGGGTGCAGTGATCACCCATGCGCAAAAAACTAATTCT